GACAAAGTTATTTTTAAATGAGACTCTCTTGTTTTCATATCTAGAAGTTTGATTTGGATATTTTTATTGTCTCCATGTCTCCACTTAACATGTTCAATAATTCGGACTTAATTTGGATGCAACACTAAAACAGAACTCTTATGTGAGTATTCAGCCTCCTGCTTTTCCTACAGATTTCAGACATGCCAGTCTGACAACTGCACGCTCCCGTTCCTTAAAATCTCCATCTATGTATCTATGTTTCTATTATGTATTATCTCTCTCTCTATCTATCTCTCTATCCATGTATTTTCTTTTCTTTCTTTCTTTCCTTTTTTCTTTCTTTCTTTCTTTCTTTCTTTCTTTCTTTCTTTCTTTCTTTCTTTCTTCTTTCTACCTATTGATCTCAGTGTATCAGCTATACAGGAAATGTACGTCTCTCTCTGTACAGGATAAAGCATGTAAATATATATCCATATCTATATCTGTAACTGTATCTCTATTTATTTCCTATTGGTTCTGTTTCTCTGGAGGACCCTAACTAATACAGCTTATTAGCGAGTTCAGTCTTAGTTGTGGGCGGGTGTACCCCACCATTGAAGAGGCAGTCTTGTTGTTAGGAGTACGTGCTCTCACAGCTGAGCCATCCTGCCACATGTGGGCAGCTCAGTGGCAGCTCAGCTCAGGCTGGACTCGAACCACTGTTGCTCAGAGCTCAAACTCTTGAGCGAGCTCTTAAAAAACTGAGCCACTCGGCCGGCCCCAAGGAAGGAACTCTTAATGCGACATCATTTTTGAGGAATCTACAGGGGATGGTACTGAAGAAAAATGTCAATCCCAAAAGGCTAAATATGGTAAAAGTATGTTTTTATTCCTATATATCATTTCTGAGAAGACAAAATTGTAGAAATGGATAACTAGTTAGCAGTACCAGGGGTTAGAGGAGGGAAGGGCGCTTCAGGGGGCGGAGGTGGACGCTGTTACAAAAGGACAGCACGAGGGACCCTTGTGGTGATGAAGTGCTGTGTGTCTAGACTGCTGTGGTGACACATGATCCTACATACGCGATAGAGTCTCATCAAACTCACTACACACACACACACACTATATGATTAGAGAATGAGTTAATGAACAAAGAACTAAGAGTAGAAGAGAAATATACTGAAAAATTAAAAAAACAACAACAGTAAGAATGGAAAAATCCAGACATCTCCAGAGAGAGAGAGAGAGAGAGAGAGAGAGAGAGAGATGAGGAGGGAGCCTGAGGGGAAAGGATGCCTCCCCCTCACACTCTCCCTCCCTCCCAGCCTCCCCATCACACCCTCAGCCACATCAGCTCCTCCTGCCTCCAGGTGCACGTCTTGTGACCTGTTTCAGCTGCTTCCTCAATTAGATTGTCAACAGCTTGTTGGCCCAAGAGATTGCCCAAGGATACAAAGGCACTAACTGATGTTCCTTCTGGAGACTCTGCAAAGGCCACAGGCCACACAAGCACTTCCTCCTCTTTTTGTTTCTTTAACAGCTATATTGAGTATAATTGATATCACACAAGTATGTTTGATGTGAAATTTTATGTTCTGGTCCCAGAATCACCTGGCATCTCTGAAGCCAAAGCCACAGGTAAGGAACAGACAACAAAAGGCGTACTTCTTCATATTGTTAATTTGTCACAGTAACATGGCAGCAGATGACATACTGACCCTGTTGGAACCAGGAGCTCTCCCTTGTGGTGTCTCCGGGAGGGGGTAGGATGATAGGATTTGCAAGGGGAAGCGGCAAAGGCCTCAGGATCATGGAGACGGACAGAGATCAGCTTACCCTGTGTCCCCGTAGGGCAAAGGGAATGGAAGGAGGTTTTGGCCTCACTTCCCCTTTGTCTGTGTTACTGTGGTATAACGGGTTTGGCCATCAATTGTATGTCCTGTTTCACAATAATACTCAGCCTCATCCTCAGACTGGAGGTTGGAGATGGTTAAGTAGCGGTCAGCCCCAGAGCTGGAGCCTGAGAAGCGATCGGGGATCCCGTCCCCCTTGCTGTGGCTTCCGTCACTGTTAACCTTCATCACATACCGAGGGGCCTTCCCTGGTGCCTGTTGATGCCAGAAAATGAAGAAGTTGCTGTGTTCACTGCTCAGGGTGCAGGTGAGCTTGGCCGAGGCTCCCAGGGAGGCCGACGCAGATGGGGGCTGTGTCAGCACAACCCAAGCACAGGAGCCTGGAAAAGGAAAAATACAAAAATGATGCCAAATGCACCAGATTTTGGACACAAGTCTCTCAACGATGAACTTGGAGGGAAATATTGGAAAGGGGGACCCCCTGAGTGCCCTGGGATACTCTGACCTGTGGAGAAAACCAGGGGCAGGAGGTAGAAGGGAAGCCAGTCCATGGTGGGGAGAATCTTCCTGGAGCTCTGCCCTGAGGCTGCCCAGCTGGGACTGGCCTCTCCAAGCTCCTGTCTTATCCTCTCTTCTTGCAGCTCAGGAAGGGAGGAGTTGGAATGCAAATCTGTTCTCCCTTCCCCAGTGTGTGTGTCTCAGCCCTTGCCTGAGCCCTAAGCCTAAGGGCCTCATGCTGGTAATTTCCTGAGGTCAGAAGCAGGGCCAGGTGTGAGTTTCAGAGTGGAGAGTTGATTGTACCCAACAGAAGTGTCTTCAAAACAGCATCAGTTATGCCCTTTGCACTCGGGGACAGCCCAGGGGAATTGGACTTATTTGGGTCCCCAAACTAGGACCCACAGTGCCCCCTGGTGTCCCCAGGATAAATGTCATTGTACATGTATAGCTAGTTCAGTAGAATTACTATTTTTGAGCCCTGAATAGAGGTCACACCTTTGGTCACTGTTTCACCTGCACCCCCTCACCTGCCATCATAACACAACTTCATCCCTCTGCTGAAGGCTCAGTCTCTCCCCCAGTCTAATGAGGAGAGATCCCTTATTGAGAGGTAAATGATTTTCCCAAAGTCTCCCAGGCAGTGATGAGTCAAGATTCCAATCCAGCAGTCTGACCTCAGAGCCTTCTCTTTGGCCTCTGTCTGCTCTGCCCTCACCATGTCCCATGTCCTCTTCCTCCCCTTTCCCAGGCTGCTTGAGCCCCTCCTGTCACAACCCTCAGGGAGGACGAGCGTCTGAACGGAACTCAGGTCTTCATGGTGCTGGAATCTGTGTTTCCCAGTGAAACACAAGACTGTGCACAGAGGTGGGGACACTCCGTCTGCTCCCTCCAAGGCAGACAACACAGGATCATGTGTCAGTGGGATTGGGAAACAG